ATAGGTCAGAATGTCAGCTTTGAAGTGAGACTTAAAACAGAAAAAGTGAATTTTACGATTTTCATCCCAGAAATTCAGGGCGTAAAGGGTTAATGGTAATATCGTAATAATGGTATACAGCTTGAACTTGAAGCCTTGATGTTGATGTGTTGCTCAAAGTCAAAGCAAGAAAACTCAGGTGCAACTGTAAGAAAAATTGAGAAAATGTCACTTGTTAAATTGCTTTAGCTCTACCCTTCTAATGTATATTAAAATGTTTCTTGTTTCAACTTGCAAACTTGCAATTTTTTAGGTAAAATTAATGATATTAGTCTATTAGAAATCTATTGCTTGAAACTTGATTTAGTAGCTGTTTCTTTTTTTTTTTAATGGGAATTAATGGACAATATGCAATCATAACTCATAATGTTTGGCTCTGTTCTATGAATTATGTTATTTTTAATAAGTAACTTGGCAGGGTACAGGGGCAAGGGCTATAACTTAAACTTATAAGCTTATTATACTACCAGTACCAACCGCCAACCGGCAGCCACCATCCATAGTAACAAACCACGTATTTTTAGAATTGGTTCATTTTTAATTTCCTCATTTAGGTACTCATGATTCAAACCAATAAATCTTATGTATGATAATGCAGGTTACAGGTATCCAGGATACTTTACTGGTCTACATATAGGAGTAGGGTAAACGCGGTATATTCCGACATTGTAGGTAATTCCGTCACTTCTCCAGCTTTTCCTTTATATTAGGCTTTGTTTTAGTTCCATGCGTTCATTGATGGTTGAAATGGTGACGTCATACATTTGCGTGTCGAAATACTACCAAATAGTGAATAACTGTTTTTATAGGAAGAATATTATGGTTTGAGACTTTTAAATACGTCTGTGAATATATTAGGAATCCTTTAAGTATACTTGTATTTGCTGATTTCAAGTCGTAAATAAATTAATAGATGATTAATTTGAGATGTTGGATTTCGACACATGAAAACTAATTCCGACACAACTTGAATTGGACATACACAGATCGTTCAAATCTTTGTACAAAAATTTAAATTTGCTTAATTAAAAGCCTAATAGCTGTTAATTAAAACGTAATTAAGTAGTGTTCAATATTCGTTAGTGTTCTTATTCAAAGCCGTGTTGTATCCCAATACAGCTCACACAGCAAACGGAATTCGAACACATGGATGTCGGCAATACGTATCAGTTAAATTTGAAGCGCTGACGCAATACGACTCGCCACGTGTCGGATGTTGCCACACAAAGTGACGGAATATAGGGATTTGGTAGGTTTCCATTCTAAAGGCTTTTTAATAAATATGGCAACATTTTGTGACGTTTCATCGTTGCTGACGCGTAGTGAAGTGTTTTGAGAGTCATGTGAAGGCAACAGAACTTGCGTAACGCATACGTTTTTTTTTATAGTTTTTCATTTCTCGATGCATCCTTAATGTGTCGGAATATACCGCGTTTACCCTAATTATAATAGGACTCAAAAATGAACATGAGGGAGAGTCTAAAAAACTCTCTGCTTTGCCACTACCTATGCGCACCATCCGGCATCCACCATGATTATAGTTATTCATGATGATGATGATGTGTGACTGTGCCACTTGTTTCTTTTTAGTTGTATGCTTTATAATGCTTATATGATCAATAATCAATCTTATTTTTGGTGTGAGGTTTTCTTACCACATCTGAGTAGTGAGTACCATTATCTGACTATATTTATGCAAATTTAAGGTTTTTAAGCTGCAAGTTTCTATATTATAAGTAGACCAGTAAAGTAGCTATCATGGATACCAGTATTGTCATACATAAGAAATTAGTTAGAATTTCAAGTAGATGGGGAAATTAAAAATGAACTGGTGCTAAAAAATCTGTAGTTTTAATACTATGTGTCTTTGTATCAGTCAATTGTATTTACTTCCCATGGTGTTTTAAATTCAATCTGTACTCTAACTCTATCACTCATTCCTTTTGGTTTTACTCAGAACAAGGTATGATTCATCCAGAAATATCAAGTTTTTGAAAATCAACTATGGCTACCAATTCCAAGGACAAAGAAAAATCAGCAGAGTCCTTTCTGGGAGCACGAGTGTCAATTGAGATGATAAATGGCATGGGCTACTTCCAAGGAACTGTGTCTGGCATTGACAATACTGAGCAAACTATAAAACTCAGGCATGTTATTCATGATGGACGTCCAACTTCAGTTAAGGAAATGATATTCAAGTAAGTCTATCTAACTTAATAATAATTTTTATTATAATGCTGATTAGTGGTTACTAATCCAGGCTATTAGTATCAGATAGAACTCAAATTGTTTGTACAAAGATTTGAATATCATAGGTTTGTTATATCTTTACTGTTGCTATATAAGCTACACTATGCAATATTCATGATAGTCTACTTCATTTGTACCTTGAATACAAAACCAAGAGGTGAGTTGTCATAATTTCTGGTCATTATTTTACCTAAGAACTTGACCTAACAAACTAGTGCATAAGGTGAATGCATTTGGAACAATCTTCCTCAACTTATTCTCCACTGAAGCTGCTCATTGTCATTTGATGGAAATATATACTAACTATCTAGCCTCATGGTCATGAAGTTATGGTTGGCATATATTATGTTATGGTAGTGATATGGATATTATAACTTATTTGAATTTTGTATAATCTCTTCACTGCCTGTTAACATTGACAGTGCTATGGATATTATAACTTATTTGTATTTGTATAGTCTCTTCATTGCCAGCTCATCTATTCCATAACACTAGATGTGCTATGCCACAGGATTTGTATTTCTCATTGACATGAAATGTTATCAGGTGCTCTTGAATATAAGGCTAACAGATGTTTTACTGTTCAATGTATTCATTTAAATGCAGAATACGGATTTAGAAACTTCTCTGACTAGATGTACTAAGCTCCTTTTTATTTTTCAGTGCACAGCACATCAAGAGTCTGGAGGTGCTAGCTGATGCCAAAAACTCTTCAGAAAAATCCATAGAATCACTGGCCATAAATGATGAGATTAAGCCCCCCATGTTGCCAGTGAATCCTCAGATAGATCTGATCTCCTCCCAACTGCTGTGTCTCGATGTTAACTCTTCAGTCTCTAAACACGCCAGTGTTGACCAAAACCCTAATAATGGTGAGGACGCTGTTGCAGCTTCTGATCCTATTCTTGATTTTATCAATAGAAACAAAGTAACAGCAGCCTTAGAAACTGTAAAACCACTCGTGTGTTGGTCAAATTCTCTACCTACTTCTGATAATTCTTTGTCCAGCCAAGAGTGTAAGGGGAGAAATATTTCAAAATTGTGTGAACCTGTGGTGGCCAGTGATACTCCCAACAGTGAATCAAGAAGCACACAGTGCCCTCACACTGCCAACAATGCTGCCAAGTGAGCCTTGCAATACTCTGATTTTGATTGAAATTTTCTACTTTGAATGAGTGTGTGTTGTAAAAAATTATTTATATCCAATAATTTGATTAGTGTCTGTATCATGTGAACACCTAGTAAAATCACAAATTTTTTTAAGTTGAATAACAATTAATCTGACTGGAAGGATTTGTCTAAACATTCATGAAAGAAATAGTTGTGGTTTAAAGTCTACCCACTCATTCCACTACTACAGGCCCAAAATCAACGTGTCAAGTGTTGGCAAGTATGACAACAATGGCGGGTATGGCTCCCCACAACACCCTCGCCCACACGACATGGCCAGCAGTAATGGCTTTGATGACTCGCGCTCTAAAGGCTGGGACTCATATGGCCGCTACTCAATGGGGTCGTCTAGTGTTCGAGCCAGACGAGAACATCAACGTCAGAAGAATGAGTATACTTTTGGTGCTGACATTTATGAAGAGGATTTCAGTGAAGACTTTGACTTTGAAGGCAACAATAAGCTTTTTGATAAGCAGGTTTGTTTATCTTCCATTCCTTAAATGATATGGAGGTCCTCACTTTAACTGTTAAAGCAACATTATGGTTCTTTCATAAAGGGCTTTGTTTTTCATCTAATCTATTGAAAGAATTTCATAGGAGCCTGGGAAGAATAATGCTGGTACAAGTATCCATCTAAAATTCCATTCCTTCATTCCAAGCCTAGATTGTACCAATTTATTTAAATTTACTTCTATGTTGTTTTATACCTTAACCGAATTGATAAAGCTTAGCAATTTTTTTGTGAAACTGAAAACATTGTTTTAATATAATAGTGCCTCTTGCTGAAGATTACAACTTTTAAAAATGAAGGCAGTATTCCTATTCCTAATCAAAAGCAGACTTGAAGTTTTTATGCCTTCATCTCTACGTAGCAGCTTCTTCTATTTGCAAAATCATCATGTCTTAATTTTGGTTGGATATTGCAAAATTAAAATTTTTCTTGTTAGATTTATTTAGAAAGTTATGAAATTTTAAGAAGTTGTTCATGTTAAATTGAAAGAACTGAAAGTTATATTAAAGTTCATTAAAGTTTTGTGCCTCCAATTTTTCCATTTACTTTGATGGTCAAAGTATTATTTTTATGGCATTGGGATATGATAATGGGCTATGATCTTTGAACTGCAGGCTGTGGCACGAGAGCTCGGGGAGATGTCACAAGCTGCTCAGCCTGACGTGGTGAGTCAGACCAAACCTCGACTGAAAAGAACGTCTTCTCAGCCCAGCACGCAGAGCAAAACTCTAAAGAACTCAACAATGCAGCCGCCGTCTGGCGTGGCGAGGAAATTGCAATCCAGCGAAAGTACTGCTGAGAATAAAAGTTATCCTTCCTCACACCAAGACGCCAAGTATCGATGTGATGAGAACGTCCTTCAAACTGCCAGCAAAATCAAGGAGAGGTTGATTGCTCTGTCACCAGATGAACCCACCGAGACCGTCTATAGCACGGGTGTGTACAACAATAGTTTAACCACGTAATTTATTCTATAATAAGTGGAATCATCAATCTATATACCATACGGAAAACGGTAGTCGGTGAAGTTGAACTTGTAAGCCCTAAACATCTTATTGGGACACACTATAATTTACTTGTTTTTTTTTAAGCCAAATGAAAGATTCAATGTTTGATGTTTTGTTACTCTTTCTTGCTCATTCTAAAATTTACACTTCATTCCGAAGTGCTGTTTTATAGAATTATTTTGAGAGTCATTACTCTGTTCAAAATACTGAAGTGATTCTGTATTAGCTTCTCGTATTTTTGGATGAAAAGATTTAACTAATTATTCATAATTATGAACATCTTGCGCAGCAATGCTCCTTACATCGTTGGCTTGATATTCTTGTCTTCTTGCTAGGCCATTCTAATCTATCAACAAAGGGAGTATTGGTTATAGGTAGTTATTTGCAAGACCTTATCTCAACATGTCAACAAAAGTGCTTACATGCTAAATTTGACTTTGAAATAACCGACTACATTTTTTAATAATTTATTTTCGTTGCTGCATGGACAATGTTCTTGGCAACAGATGATGGCTTTCTGGTGCCCGGCATATCAAACAGTCTGCGGCAGCGGCTGCTCTCACTCGCTACTCAGTACGGGTTCACCGTCACTCGACAACTTGAGATCACGGGGCGAGCTGCTGCTGAAGCGTGTCTCCAAATACTTGGTGGTGAACACAGGTATTATTTCATTCATATCCTGGTATTGAAATATCGCCGTTTTACTGAAGAGTTGCAATATCAGTTGATAGCGTCAAAAAAGTTTACAAACCCCATTTCCACTGGCTGGTGTTGTTTTGGACATCATTTAAAATTTTCAAATTTTTTATACCGTTTGTTGTATGTAGATTAAAGATGAAGTTTTTTTCCTAGTTTTGTTCATATATCTGAAAAGGCAGAAATAAAATTTTGATAAATAATTTGTATCAAAGAAAATGAATCTTTGAGTGCTTACAAACGAACTAATGATCTTGTGTTGGCACAGATTGAATGCAAAGAACAGGCACCAGGTGCCGCGCGTGGTGGTGCTCTGCGGCTGTCATGGGCAGGGCGCTCTCGGCCTCAACACGGCACGTCAGCTTCTCACCCACGACATCGTCACCACTGTAGTGACCCCAGCCTCCACCACCGCCTCCGCTACACCTCCACTCCCCTACACTCAGGAACTGAAGCTCTACAGCTTGTGTGGTGGCGAGCTGCTCCACAACCTCACCACGCTTCCTGCTGCGTCTGTCATTGATCTCATCATTGATGCTAGGCTCGATCACGCTGGTGCCCCCAGTGAGTTCTCCAATGTGCTTTAGCTTACAATTAGAACCACGAGAAATATATTAAAATATTTATAAACTTACTTTGTTTCCAATTTAAATGCGTGAGCTCAACTTTGTTATCTATTGTGTTTTTACGGAATGATTGTGTGTTTTTTTACAAGCCTTCATTGTTGACATGCGCACCATTGAAGTATATATTTTCTAGTACTTTGGCTTATCTTCACCCTGTTTCGCAGTTGCTACGCTGCTTAATTTAGTTTAGCTTTGGTTTCTCTCATGCATAACTTTACTTTAAATTTATTTACTGAATTCGATTCGACGGGATTCGGGTAACGAATCCCGTCAAATCAAATTTGACGAATTCAGATGTATATTTTTAGCAATTCCGGGTTGACCAGCTAATATTTAATAGAATTCAATGTAAACTTTACATTAAACAAACAAAAAAATTAATGTAAAGTTAGTGCTTGCATGAATTTATTTTAAAAATGCCCGCTTGAATTTAGAATATGCATTGAATTTTATTAATTTCCTATAACGCACCGTGCTGCAGGCAGCAACGGCTCGCACTTGGAATGGCTGGCTGAAGTGACAAGTTGGGCGCAGCGTCAGAGCTGCCCAGTGCTTGCGCTGGACCCGCCCAGCCACGACTGCGGCGCTCACGTCCGTCACTCGCTGCCTGCCCGCGCCCTCGTGGTTGCCGCCTTGCCTTTAGTCTACGCCGAGACGCAGGGCAAGGTGTACCTCGTCAAGCTCGCGCTCCCCACAAGAGTATATGAGGAGCTTGGCGTCACGTATGCGTCGCCTTTCCAGTCCAAGTTTATGATAACTCTGCATCCCTGTGATTAGCGTTTCTTCCCTCCGTAACATACATGACATGCGCACTTACCATTATAGCACTACAAGATTTGTCAATTCATGTTAATTCGTGTTGCCAGCTTTTGGTTGCATTTTCTCCGGCTGTTTATTCGTTCTTTGATCTCATAACACCCCCCACCATTGTTAGGTAATATGTGTTCTCTAAGTTTTCCTATTGTGCACGATGCTTCATTAGTTTTGGGTTGTTTATTGTTAATATAATAATTTGTTAAGACGCTACGTTTTACTGGTTCATTGTAACAAGTGTTATTTTAGTATAAATTTCTAAAGATTTAATAATTTTCGAATACCGACATTTAATGTTGACTTTGGATATACGTTTATCGAGCCGTGTACTCGAAAAAGAATCTGTACTTAATCATACGTTGGTCTTTCATTCCAGTTATGCCGTCGAATCCCAAGCGGTGTACTTAACAATCTTAAATACCATCCCAGGAATGGTATACATTTTCGTCCAGCTTAAATGTGATTAATTTTATGTTATAAGAAAGGCTGGAATACTCTTCTCCTCGTCTAGGAATAGTTTGCTTATTTACTCACGCTGAGGCCTGCTCTGGTCGACGTAGCCCGTGCGGTGCGGAATCGATACCTCACATGTCGCTAAGAAATTATCCAATAGAGGCTTGCTCTTCTCTTTAGATGTGCTTCACAATGGGGAACACCTAGACTCATTTAAATTGTCGACTATCAATCCATTTTGCCATCGTGAGGAAAGATGATCAATTCACGCATCGTTCTAATATTGCTTGTTAGTTTATGACTGTAAATCTGCGTTAGGAACTTAGGGGTGCAAATGACATGACTTGGATAATGCGCGCTAGTTGACTTGAGAGAAGCCAGTTGCCAGAAGCATGGATTATTATCGAGATTTTTGCATTACGTTACTCTGAATTATTAATTCAATAATTGTGCTTTTTCCTTCAATTGCACGGTCTCCCCATTTCCAAACATACTTATTGCCACCTTTTTATTTATTTGTACTGTCGGCGATCTGACATTGAATGTAAACATCTTAGTTTAATGACCATATGTGATTTGTTCAAGATATATTTCAAGGTAAGCAATTGAGTGGGGTTTATTAATATTTAAAAACTAAATTTCCTGTTGTTAACCACCGACGTTTTGACGTGCTAGGTACTATCAAACTTGTGCGCAGTTTTGACAGCTCATATCGCCGCAGCGACTCTTAGCTCCGAGGACTGGACCAACGTGGTCCAGGCTTGTCATCCTCTGTGGTCAGGGTCCATGAGTGTTCTATCGTACAAATTTTGAAACGTCAGTGTACAATGAAAATATATAAATAATAAATTTTGTTAGATTTATAGTTGTTCCCAAAATATGTAATTGCTTTCGGTGGCTGTTGAATATTTTTTTGCGTTTCAAGATCTTTCAACTGCAGGCTGTGGCATAAAAAATATAAAGTTACGTACTAAATATAAAGTTACGTACTAGATATGTGCGACGGATACTTACAATACTTTTCATGGTTAATTTTATGTTGAAATTTTAGCGCATTCTTTAAACAAGTTTATTGTACGTTGCAATCCAAAGTAAGAGATATTTCTATGAAGTTTAACCGTGTCTCATATATAGTTCATCTTTAAGATAACTCGACCCATGCTATTACTGGAGTTTATTATGCTCGTTTGTTTGCAACAATTGATATATCTCATATGTATTTTGTTAGAGAATTTCTAGGCTAAGTTGTTTATTTCAGTGCAAGTCTTAATCAGAGTCACATTCGGCGTAGCTCTAGTCAGTGAATGGCCTGAGAACGTCAGTGGAATTCGTTACCTATTATATTTCAGCTCGTGTTGGGATAAATTCCGAATCATGTCATGCATAGACCATTTAAATGTGTTTTGAAACTTGATTGAAATTGTTCAATTTCTTTCACGGGTTTCTGTGATTTTCTTCGGACCTTCGGATTTCATTCACGGACCTGCGGGTGAATGAAATCGATTGATATTTCTGTTTAAAAATAATTCCCACATGTCCCGTCCTCCCATTCTGTTCGCCGTGGGGGGAAAATTCTGTTTTATGCTGTCCCTTGCATTATCGTTAATTACGATAACGTGGATCATTGATTGAGAATTTTATTCAAACATCGAATTGCTCGCACTCAGAGGCACAAAAATTCAACTTACGATAGTTTCCGGTCATGGCTTACCTATTTTAAATTGGCATGGCGAACAGTGCTACACGCCGGCAGAATATTTAATTTAAGCAGTTCTAACTATTGAGGATCAACATTATTATTTTACCTCAAGTTCTGTTTAGCGTTTCTTTGTTCTGGATTATTTCTCTCTGTTCGAGCCTCGACGAGCAGCTTCTTGCGGAAATTTGATACTCGGACGGAAAATTGTGATCTCAGAGAGCATGTTAGGCATGAGCGCTGTTATCTATTCCTGGGCTTCGTGTGAGTAATTTGCGTTCCAGCGTTCCAGTCTTGAGTCAATGATATTTTACGATTTCAAACCAATAATTATCTGTGTGTTAGGCTTCGAAACTCGTTCTTATGGAGAAACGAAAGAAACGCGATAATTTCCTGTTAAATATCTCCAAAATAATTGGATGCCTTGAGTTCATGTTGATGCGGCCTCATTGAACAGCGGGAGAGTTAGAAGATTGCCTTGCGCCTACGTCCCAACTCTACAAGTGTAGGTAGCGTCGATAAAACGTTCATCTTGTCATGAAACTCAATTTGCGTGTATGTATATTTTCAGTTATTCATTCTATTGAGCATTAGAAGGCAGACATTTGCTTCAGGTTACTGTGTTTTGAAGAGAAATTTCCCTGAATTATTGATGCCGGCATCCGCTATTTTCTTGACGCAGTTTTCCTTCAGGGGAGACCTCTGACGCGTGTCTGCTCGTCAGAAGTCCTATGGGATTTCGCGCTCCTAGGGGGATTGTTCCTGAGCGCCCTACCGCTGAGCTCGCGGTGTCTGACTGCAGATCTCAGTTGTAGGGTTAAGTTATTGTGTAGGTAGGATTCCTTACATTAAGTTATTATGTAGGTAGGATTCCTACCCCTTCTCTGTCTCTCTCGTGCGGGCGGCCGACGTCCCGTGTAAGCGACCTCTTGTTCGAGTGTCTTCGTTTCTGTTGCTTTTAACCTGTCCCTCCTTGTCACTTCGTCTCTTTGAGATGCTAACGCTGCTTCTTTCGAGCCAGCTTCAGCGAGCTGGACAATTAAGACGTCCCGCCCCCTTGTGGGCGATGATTAATTTGAGGCTTTGAATAACTGAGACCTTCCACCCCGCTGGCGATGCTACATTTTAACCTCCGGTGCGAAATAGCTTGATAGCTGAAGCGCTAGCAAACCATTATACTACTACTACTACTACTACTTGACGTGGTTGTGAGCTATCAATATGAGAACTGTTAGTTATCTTCCCCGTAGATCGTCCGTTATAAATTGCAACATTATGTGTCCTCTTGTGAGATAAACGAAAAATGCGGCTCGGTCCAAGCTTTAAATAGAAAACGTGCTTCAAATTTCACTAAGCTTTAAAAATTTGCAATTTTCTATCTCGCGAATTAATGGTAATTAACTATCTCGCGAATTAACTATAATTATGTCTGAACAATGTTTTATCTTGGTTTGTGGGAAATGAAGAACCATCGAAATTGTCTACACTCGCGATATGTGGTGTCGCAGTTGTAATTCGCGGAATATTTCCTTGGCTTAAGTATTTTCTACCTCGATAATACATACATTTAGCGCAACTTAATTGTGGAAGCTAATGTGATCTTTGCGTCGTAAAGCTACGTACGTACCTGATCATTCTATTGTTATTTTCCCGCTCCAAAACCTTGTAAATTATCGTGTATTTTACGAGTATTTAGATGATTGTTCTATCAGCTCGCTCCAAGAATGTCAAGCAGGAACAGACCGGAAATGACGATGTCGAGACCCGCGAGGAGCCGATCCACATAACTGGCCGTCCGCCTCCCACCGATGACAATTCAAATATTGGGAACTATAGAATGCTTTCCTCAGTCATTAGTTAGGAAGTCCGTTCTCAAAGGGAAAATTTTGGAGTATAATTTTCAATTGAAAATTGCCAACACTTAACTCCATGTTCACATTCTCCTTGCCTGCATTAATAAATGCCCGTGATTGTTTGGTCAATGAACGTCGACTGACGATTGCTTATCCCAGCTTCAGCTGACGTATATAAATATATTCTCTGGAGCGGGTGGCGCTCACATGCTTTGTTAAGGACGAATGCGCATCAACAGCTCTGGCGATTGTGTAGCCTTATTCTAGTTAAAAAAATCTACCTAACTGATCCAAGGTTCATATTTTTCAATGTATTCTTCCTAAAATCTTTGTATTGTACTTGAACAAGTAGGCAGAATAGCCCCCATCGCATTATCAGTAGCATTGGAAGGAACATTATTAGAAGCAAGGATTACTATCTGGAATCTTCGATTGGCGGAGTGTTTCGTTGAGCTCCATGTTCATTTTATTATTTATACGCCAGTTTTGTAGTAGCATTATAAAAATTGTCATTCCATAGTTCTGACAGGATTGGGGGTGCTTGCCTAATTTCATTCTGCTCTTTAACCGATGCGTTGTGCTGCCCTTGTGAGCCGTCGATGGCAGCGGTAATCGTCTCGCCTGACTGGAACTGCCAATCTAATTCTAAAAGGCTGCGGCCAGACTAAAAGCGAGAAAGCTGGCGCGTGTAGATGGCCAGACACAACGCGAGCTGGCGCGATCAGTTCAGACACAATATGATACTAGCTCGAGAAGGCATCGACACTGAAGCAGCAACAGGTGTCGAAGATCACTGTGGAATAGTAAATACCAGAACACCAACAGCTGAAAGAAATAGCCCGAGATATGCAAAATGTTCGTAACACTCTGACTACTTACTTGACTTATCCCGTTGGGAGTGTTCCATGGCAGGCATACGTCTAGATTATAAATATAAGGTTACTACTAAAACGTTATAAATGAAACAGAATGATGTTTTATTGACCTTACCCGGAAATCTCAATGCATCACATATCTGCGACCAGCTGTCTTTGATGTACTGACGATCACTGCGCTTGGGGTGCGAGGCGTCGCAGATTGCCATTCCAGGCTTGGATGGAGCAGATCAAAGCTTCGACATCCATCCTCGACGACGTCTCAGGGGGCAACTACACGCGCGTGCTCGCGCTTGTATATTTAACTCAACAAATCTATAAACTTCACGCCTCAGCAAGCGCCGCAGGTGCTAGCGTGCGCTGTCTGGCCGCACCCTAATAAGTAGCATCGTTCTCATTCGCGTGGCAACAACCGCTTCTGAGCACATTCCACGTTGGAAACTACGGTATTACTCGAATGTTTATTTTAGAATCTAAAACCTAAAGGTCACGCATGTGTTTATTCAGCTTAGGAAGCTCGGAAAGCTTCAAGTATTCCATTTTGATAGGTAGCGCGTGAGCGTAGTCATACGCGCCCTCCTTGGTAGCAAATTGGTTTTGTGTTCGAGGTTACGTACTCCGTATGGTCTCCGTACTTGAATATTCTCGATTTTTGCTGTATACATGGCTTACAGTTCGTGGGATTACAGATTGAAGTGATTTTATCACATTTGTACATATTCGATAGACAATCCTTTCAAGCAATCTCTGAAATGAACGATGTAGTAACGCATCCAATATTTTTGCATCTAACTATTCTTACACAAGGACCTGATTATCTTTCCTCCCTATCACATTCGCATCAACTGACCATGTTTCGCGGTGCTGAGGGAGAAGGTAAAAATAAATCAATTTCTCAAACTACATTTATTCCATTGAGACAAGCAACTATTTTTCGTTTCCACACAAGCAGCGCATGTCAACTTCATCTGAAACTCCCATGGCGACTCGGGCTAAGATCGAATTGTCCGTTCTAGCGACAATTAACTTTAACAATAATGCTAAGCTAATAATTCCGCTCATCTGCAACTGGAATAAAATAAAAACAATGAATGTAATCCATGGGGCAGCTCCGCCGAAGTGTACCTTGGGAACATATATTATTTAGGGTTTTGAGCCTATCAATATTGTTGCACCTCACAGACACGCAATCTCTAATAGATTAATGAACCATTGTCAGTTAATTGGGATCTTTAACCGGTACATTATTGATAGGCTCGAAACTCTGAAGAGACTTTGTCCAATAAATTCATACTTACCGACAATTTCCCAGAAAACAGAATAAAGATGCCTTTTCCAATACAAACCTCACGGCGTCTTATCCTCCGCATCAGCTTCTGCACAGAAAAGTTATGCATACACATTCACAATAACTAGCACGCGCAAATCGATGCAACCCATTAGTGAACCACTGGAAAGTTTCAGAAGAACGACAGCGAAGCTTCATTAGTTACCTACAGTCCAGTCACCGGAGGTGTCGCTATGACGAGAGGTAATCCTTGGGCCACAGAAAACGGGCAGACTCCATAAGCGCGGTCCTAATCGTCAGCAATAGAGAATATTGAGAAGCCAGATTTGTCGAGGAATAAGGATTCAAATCCAAATCGCATTGTAGTCAAAAGCAACTCGAGATATCGGAGCAGCTGTCTTAAAAATAATCTTTGTCTCCCAAATGGCCGCCGATTGAAGAGAATGCGAAGGACGATGCGCAAGTCTAAACAACGCTATGATCGGTCAGGTATGGACCATGCTCAACTTAAGAGTATGTGTTGAGACACTATGACAGGTTGCACTTTTCACTTAAATCTAAACATTAAGAGAAAACTTGAAGAAGCTGGCGCAGACAGTGGGCGTTGTGTTCAGTCGAGGTGATGACTCCTTCATGAAAAGCTTTTATGAAACAATGATGTATCAGTCAGTCTGCAGCCACGCGCTCAAGATTGTGGGGCACTTCAATAGCGTCGGAACCCTCGACCAGCTCCACGACCCCCGCGACCTCTGCCTCGACCTGTAAAAAATTAAAATCAGCACTTGACGTAACGAATCTAACTGTAACAAATATGTAATTGAAAGAGCTGCATCTTTTTGATAGCTGCAAGCTAACCCCAACGAATCAGAATTTAATATCCAAATGTAATAGAGAGTTGGATACTTATTTCAATTGTTTTTTATGTCGTAATGTTTGGTCCATAAAAGTAAATTAATAAATATCCCTCAAAGAAACATATCAAGCCTCTTCACAGTTATTAACTGCAATCTTTATTGTCGTTAACCCCTATCACATGAAGTTCAGTTATATGCGTTCCATCCTACGTTATTTGTCTGCTTTTTAAATAAATTCTTGAAAGCCAAACTCTGTTTTCAACCCACATTTCATTTCTAAAAACGACAGATGACACACGAGTGGAAAATGGTTCGCTGCAATCAAGTCAAGAGCAAAATTTCGCGGCATTGAGATAGCAAAATTGATCACGAATTTAAAAATGAAAATAAATGTCACGTAAATTCCGACTGTTTAGATGAAAACTTGGCGTTTGCTCTGCTTTCAAATTCTAAGTTAATTCAAAATTTAATCAGGCTCACGATATATGATTAAACGAATAGATTTATTCACCGCCATAGCTTGCTCCTCTGCTGAATTTGCCACTGGGCGGCGCGTATATCTGGCGACTGCCCTTCGTCTGCTTGGGCGGCGACTCAGCGCTGTCAGCGTCCATGGTAATGGGCGCGTGGCGCTTGAAGCCCACGGCCGCGCCGTTAGCATCCTTGCCTTTCTCCGTCTCCAGCAGCCATGACAGGCTGATCGAGCTCTGCAACACGGCATAGTTAATATAAATAAACTTGTCATAGACAAGGATTCGAACTTCACGCATTAGTCTCCAATTTCTTTCACCAAATAGTCGCTAATCTAATAAGTAAATTATAGCAATTAGCACGAATACACAGATGAATACATAATTTGCGTGTATAAATTGCAACGTATGTACAACCTTACACTTAGAATATTGACGCGTGTAATAAATTACCAAGACAGGTTGAGAGTATGCTTGACATTTTCCAAGGTATCACAGATACCATGGTCCCAATTATCCGCTCCCATGAGAAGCAAATATTCCCGTAATTTCATCTGAGATCGGAATGATACCTGCGTATCAGACTCGAAAAAATGAATGGGTCATACTGACTAACGCACAGCATGAGTAGAGAGCGAACGTTGCATTGATATGCGCTGTCGCCTGGCAAAAGTGGGCCATGAGGACCCACACAAGTTAGTTAGTTAGTTTAGTGGCCAAATGTTTACTAGCGCTTCAGCTATTTAGCTATCTCGCACCGAAAGTCAAGATGAACATCACCATAGAGGTGGAAGGTCTCAATTATTCATCACCCACAAGGGGCGGAAGGTCTCAATTGTCCAGCCCGCTGAAGCTGGCTCGAAAGAAGCAGCGTTAGCATCTCAAAGAGACGAAGTGACAAGGAGGGACAGGTTAAAAGCAACAGAAACGAAGACACTCGAACAAGAGGTCGCTTACACGGGACGTCGGCCGCCCGCACGAGAGAGACAGAGAAGGAAAATGTAAGGAATCCTACCTACATAAAAACTTAACCCCACAACTGAAATCAACGGTCAGACACCGCAAGCTCAGCGGTGGGGCGCTCAGGAACAATCCCCCAAGGAGCGCGAAATCCCATAGAACTTCTGACGAGCACAGACACGCGTCAGAAGTCCCCCTGAGGGGAGGACCCACACAAGCATAAAAATTGCATCGCTACTTGGACAAGCCTCACTCATTTGTCTGAGTAGATCATTAGACATTACAAAGCGTAAGTCAATTAAAAATGTAATTTTTTTTTATTCGAGAGAGAGAGTAGCAGCCCGATTGTCCTTGGATCAGGATATCATAAAAAATTAATTATATCACCAAGAGGTTATAATACAAATAATATTACTAAGGTGTTGGCGTTCATTGGGCCAAATATGGCCTGTTAACTATTCTAGACATCGCAGAATTCTTGCAGCTTGCAGGGTTTTGCACCCAAAACTCGCTGCTTCAAACTTATTCTCGAACGCCAGGCGACCTCGCCCATATTGACCAAAAATGTCACCAAAAGCTGCGATCAAACCCACAACTCACTGCTCCAATTCCGAGCACTCTTCACAATTTCATAAATTTTGATAAAAGTACTCGTAAAAGAATGTTTTGTTGAAAACGGTCAGAAAATAATTTTTTCGGTGATTACAAACGCCCATAAAGTTTAATCATCTACATTCTTGAAAGGAATTTTAGGTTTTTGGGCCGCAAAGTTTATTTTAAGCCTTCAACATTAACGACTTGCCAACTACTTGCTGAAACTATTTCACTATTATGCAACTAGTACACAAAATAGATATGAAAATATTTTTTTAGCTTATTAGATAATGTAGGTCAAATGAAACAGTGCAGGAGAATAACTTGCCTTAGCTGCGGGTGGAGTGTGGAAGAAGTCCTTAATGATTGTGTTGATGTTAGCGGTGGTCTTGAGAGCAATAAGTTTCACTTTATTCTCTTCTGATTTGAGTTCATCTCCCTTCTTGCCGGCAATAGCCTCGCGCAAGACCTTCTGGTAGGCCTGAGAGCCACGAGCGAAGTACTGAAGTCTGAAAAACAGGGCCGTTCAGAAACAATATTTACCAGTCTTAATAATTTATATGGGTCAAAAAAAGATTACGTGGTGCGGAAAGAATTGAAGGAAGATAAGGCATGATCAGAACGGGCTAACTCAAGTAATTTGCTCATTAGAATTGTTTATTTGCAGCCCTTCTTCTCAAATAAATGCTAGTATGACACTATCACTTGGCAATGTTCATTTAATGGACATAAGGAGCAGCATTTTCTTTCTTCTGTTAACTGATTAGTGCAACACCTTAAATCAACATCGACGGAATAAGGTATTACATCGGAAAGTTAAAATCGTTATCGAAATCAGCATGACAAACAGGACAACGAGATTATAGACACGATATCGCTATGTGTGCAATTGCTTCAAATATTATTATGTTTGCAAATTGAGTTGGATACATTATCTAACAGTTTTCATCTTTTCATTACGTACACTAATAAAACATGTTTTCTTTGGAAACATGAATAAGATTTGAAATAAGTACTGCAGGTGCAAGACATGAGGACTGATACACTCTAATGATCATGTACTCTATAAACCAAGAAAAAACTTGTTAGTCTCTTGTGTTTTATTCGACAGTCCTACCTCTGTCTGAAGTCCTTTAGAACTTCTGCGTCAGAGAAGAAATCGGCGTGGAATTTGGTGAGCTGCTGAAGGCTGTAAAGCAGACACTCGACGCGCGAGAACTGCAGGCTTGCACCACCGTCGTCCCAGCCAGCCTCGCCAGCAGCAGGAGGTTGAGGCAGTACATCCTGGCATTTCATTGCTCATATTAACTAAATTAATATTATACTCATATTATTACATATTAAGGAAATAAAGAAGAAAAATATTTTTCACAATCGAATCAAGGTTGAGTTAATGGCAGAGGTATCAGGCGAAGTACAAGCCATTTTTCATTAAAGTAATCGCAAGGGCTTTGATAAAATACCTCCAGCAACATCAGCTACATCGATTCCAAATGCCTGAATCTAACATAATTTTGCTGAAACAATATAAAAAAATGCCCTGAACACTGAACATCTGCTACAAATCAGCTGAAATAAAGAGCCAGGATAGAAATTTGGTTCTGAAACCCAATATTTCTGAAAATAAGAGCTTAACACAGCAAAATTTGTTCCACAATGTAATATCGTTAAAACTAAAGCTTGACATGTCCAACCATGTTCTGTAACCTAATACTTCTGAAAATAATAGCTTGCCATGCTCAATTTTTTTTATAACTCAATCTTATAGCATAACATAATATGTATGCAGCCTATCAATATAAATGACGAGAATGCCTGGTGAAAAGACAAAAGCACTGAAACTAGATTGGTTGTTACCAAGAGGGCTTTAAAGACGTGCTTCATGGCAACATCGGCCTTCTCGACGGTTTCAGCGTAGTTGAGGAGCTGTGCAACAAGTTTCAGAATGGAGTAGGTGACTTTAGCAGCGTCCTGACCAGCAACGAGGATCGCAGCCTCGATCTTCTCAAGGTGTGGCAGTGCGTGAGTCAACAGGTATGACACCACGGCCGTGGATTTTACGTTGGCCTGCAACCAACACAATCATGTAATTAACCACGTTTGTTTGGCCTATAACAGCGTTATCACTCATTGAAACATGATTCAATGCTGCATAAAAAAGATTTAGGTTAAAGAAAAACCAGAAAGAAAAATGCAATTAAAAAGTAATGAGAAAAGTATAATTAATGTAAAATAAGAGAAACTACAGCCGCGGCTGGCCGCTAGTAACCTCAGATAAGATCAAAGACTTTGTGATCACAAGACCTCTTGAGACGGCCAGGGAGATCAATCTAACGAGATCTCTACCGTGAACGGCTGCAGGTCTTCACAATCGCAGTATAATCATAGGTTGCCAGCATAGCACTTTATAGAACACGGTTCTTTCCATGTTACAAACTAGAGTACTATCTAATTTCATAGCCTTGCCTAAGCGCCATTTCTCAATTAAAATACCGCAAAATATGCAGGATTTTCAAGTGAGAGACTTTCCAATTAAGTCATGAATTATTTTGTAGAGGTTTTACACATAAGCATAGGTTTCGAACGTAAAATAAATGGCAAACACAAACTTCGTATCTCCCGATCGAACGTTATAGTTCAATTTACAGGTATAGAAGCTACTGGCCATTCTAAGATGACATTAAAGTTAAAAGTAAAGATTGAACAGAACTGAGCTTAGCGCGGACTCACCGAAAAGAAATTCTTAGCCTGGTTTAGGACGCCCACAGTTCTGGAGATATCAGGGGACTTGAGGAGTGGTTCACTCAAGTTCACTTGCGCCATGAGCAAGTCTGACAGCTGCTGCTGCGCAGTTGTCGTGCGGCACACTGACAGCTCCCCCAGGATTGACATGATCAGCACGAGCTCTTCCTCAGTGGCCGTCTATCAGCGAGATACTTCATTAGTTTCCTTTGTGTTATATATAATCAATAGGAAGTAGGAATTGCTTAAGATTCATATACAGACTAAAATTTCAAGCTAATGAAATTTTTACAGCATTATCAAGTTCCAGTTTATCAAACAAAATTAATTCCTTATTGTTGGAATGGTGAGTGTGGGAGGCCTTATAAAAAAAAAAAAAAAAAAGTTCCACCAATTGAATACACCACATAATATGATTGTTTAAAATTGTTATGAAGTATTCTGAAACCTTTGAATCTATTTCATTGTATGATTCAAATGTTTCCTTCGTATCAACAACTTTCCAAGCAATTATGCAAACAAAATTTATCAAACATTTATGCTAAATAATTTTGGTCAATTTTATTGTTTGACAAACAAACGGTCAACACACTGGAATAAACTTCTTAGCTTCGGTGAATATGAACACTTGCACATCCTTTCCAAAAACTTCAGTGGAAAGGGACTGGATCTTGGAGAGCAGGAACTTCAACACTCGGTCTCTGATGATCTCGTCTCTGTTGTTCTCCAGCTGGTAGAAGAGGCCAGTCAAGGTTCCTGCTCACCAGTGATGATTATCAATATAACAGTACATTATCAAACTATTTCACTTCATCAATTCATACTGATATATTCAAAATTCTTCAAAATTCAATACAATGCTTTCTAGAGCTTGTCGTACAAACAAAAAGACAAATTGAACTATACAACACTTTTTCATTAGCTTGCAGTATGCACAAAATAGCAAATTAAGCAGGACTATTCTTTCAGGTGCTTGTAGTATAAATATGGTCAATCAAACAAGTCAGACAAATGAAGATGCAAATTCAATTAAGTAACCTTTAGCATGAACTCTGAGGAGAGCTACAAGCGCGGTATTGACGCAGCTGACTTCTGCAGCCTCATCCATTTGTAAAAGCTGAGCAAGGATGTCGGATACTTTAGGAACAAGGGCAGGCTTGCCCCGACACACGACACCCAGGCTGGTGATGGACTGACGTCTGATCTGCAATTAGAAACAACAGAAGTACTGCATGAATAACTATACACTATATCAAAGTTTATACTGCAGAAGTTTGCCATTTAAAATTTTAATGATAATTTACAGTATACGAGACCAGATCATAACAAAGCAAGTTTTTAAGTAGCTATTCTAACGGCCAATAATTACAGTTTGAAGGTGTAACAAATAATTACAGATCAGTTTAAAACCAAAACAATGCAAGTTTCTGGACGCGACTCTTCTTGATGTGATTAGGCTGAATGTGATTCTTTAACCAAGGCCATGCTTGGCTTAGACTGAGACTCAATAAAAGCTAACAGAAGATTATTGAAAAGATTTATTTAATAAACAAGATAAATAATCGTATCAAGGTATTTACAAGATGCGTGGCCTCATGACACCTTTATGGCATTAATTAATCCTCGGATGCACCATGAAATGTTAGGCTAACCTTACGATTGTCAGCTCCCCCTTTCCTAATAAGGCAGTAAATAGACGAGCTTAGTTAGGCTTGCAATACAGCCAGCATAGACTGCATCGATGACTGCTAACACAAAACAATGGATCATTCAATGCAAGACAAGCTTAAATTTTGAGGGTTTTTGGAGGGTTTTAAATAAACAAAAACGTTTTAAAGCAATACAATATCATTCTCCAATTTGAAAAAATGTATTCTTCACCTGTGTTCATGTACTGTATCCCAACTGAAGAAAGTTGAATCATTATATTTTTGCAAGCTAATATGGGAAGGTTGTTATGGGTTGTAAACTAAAGCTTGATATGTCCAACCTTGTTCTGTAACCAAATACTTCTGAAAATAAGAGCTTGCCATGATCAATTTTTTATAACTCAATCTTATAGCATATGGGGTACCATATGCCATATACCATAGCAACCAAATTAAAAGAGCACTCACGGATGGGTCATCATCTTCACAGAGGTCAAACAGGGCATTCAGAGCTTCTTCCTCCTGATTAGGAAAAGTTCCAAAGTAGCGAGAGATGAACTGGGCAGTCATGCGCCGCGCTCCAGTGTCCCCTTTCACTCCACTCAAAATTTCCACATACTCTGCTTCATGCTGTAAAAAAAAATTTAACAAATGTGAGATTAAGCTTGAAATTTTGATTTTAAATAATTTAAATGAAGCTTAGCAATCATAGCCATAATCCAAGTCAAGTGCTTCGCTTCAAAAAAAAAAAAAAAAAGAAGAAGCTCTAAGAACAATGAACACACTCAGACCCTCCATGACACCAAGGCTGACATTATATCTAGTATTTTCCTTTGCATGGAAAACATTTATGTACTCTCTTTAGTGCATAGACATAAAAGTGTGATAACCCTTCTTTGGTAGTATCATTCACGTTATCCCTTTAGCAGGCAAGCATTGAAATATCCAGAAATTAAAATTTCAGAAACCATTTCAAGAAAGTAAGAAGTATTATACAATATATTTATTTCTATGAATTTTTGCAAATTTTGCCTATTGAAGGTTTAAATTGCACTTGAAGAATTCAATAAATGCAATCAGTACACAAAATTTTTCCTTATAATTAAAATTCAGTTTATGCAAATGAAAAATTAGAAACATAAAAATTTAATTTAATTAAATTTAATTAAGTTGCCAAAATAAATAAATATATACATTGATACTTCCACCTTTTGAAGAAAATGCGGAAAGAGCGTCAATTCCATTGTCCGAGTCAAAACATTTATTTAAATGCTCATATTTCAATTTGTGGACTTTGCAGCTGGCGATGCTATAGATAGAACTATGGTCAGATAATTAGTGATTGACTGAGGCATTATAAGGATGCCTCAAAAACAAACAGGAAGCTGTGGTGAGGCTTTTTGTGATGCAATTTCAAGTGATCATATATGGTAACTTACCCGTGAAAGGGTTAACACAGCCAAACTTAGCTTCAAACCAAGAAAACAATTGCAAATGGTAGGAGATGATAATAAAAAATACTCCAGTGAAGAACAATTAATTTGTGGTCAACTGATAGCTTGAGCAATGCTTTAGCATCTTAGGTGCTAAAGCATCTAAGAAAAAAAATCAGTCTAAGTAACTGGTTGGAATGTTACATGGTGGTTGATAGACAATGATTGATAGTTGAAGTATTTTAAGGCTCTGTGAAAATGACCAGATAAAATACACATCACTGATTAAAGAACTTGCAGCACTATAGATTTATTTCTAGTATTGTTAGTTGTGTCAGTATAATCATTAAAAATGCATTGTAAACAATAATGAAGACTTTGAGGTATATATACTTGAAGTAAATTAGCTTACAAATCTCAGTAACAGTATAACCTCAATTACTTCACAACGATCTTGGTTATAAGGAAGTTGTCACAAATACTTCATCATTTCTGATCATCAAATTTAGAAATTACTTGCCAAATGGAAATACTTGAGATGTGTACATGCTTTTCATCAAGATTTTTTTTTGCAATGTGAAAAGCTTCTGCTATCAGTTGACTTCAGATATATGATCCAACAATGAAAGGCAGATTTCTTACCATGTTTATATATGTAGCTTAGTTCAGAAATGAACTTGTAAATAAGAATTAAAAGTAAATACATCACAAATGCAGCACTGAAAAAAAATTTCTAATGCAGTTCCAAGTTGCTGAAAGAAATCTACAATCAAAACAATCAATATCAATGAAGGTATAACTCAAGTGCATTCCTGTCAAACTGAGTAATAAGGGACTGGCGGGGTATATCATTACAGTCCTCAGTCATGATGTAGAAGTAATAGCAAAAATTATTGAAATATTACAAAACTAGAAATAGTGGCGTAAACTTCAACATTTTTCCTATCTATGTAGCACATGGGAAGTTAAGAAATCATACGTTTACTGGCTCTAAAAAATCCCTGAAAAATATGTTTAGAAATGATATTTTGGAAAGTACTTCTGCTAAGGTCTATAGTAAAAAAAATACTTGCCATATTAAAAATGAGCTAAAAATTGTGCAGACAGGTGTTGGCTTTAAAACTTTAGACAGAATTTGTGTACCTCAATCAAAAACAAAATGGCAGTCATTCCTGCAAGATGGGGTATTACAGAGTACCTTGGGGTATCACAGGACACCCCTAAAAATGCATTTACAGCAGAACCTCTGTTAGTGAAGGCTCCAGTCAATGAAGAAAATGGGTTACTGACAAAGAATTTTGATTAAACTTGCATGTCTCATTAAAAAATTTTCACTTGACAAAAAAATTCATGCACCATCTGTCATCACAAAATTGTGCATAGAATGTCATAGATAGAATTGTGCACCAGGCAACATAGAATGATAAGCAATTAACCTAAACTATGATTTATTTCTCCAAAAAATATGACGTATAATATAATATTATAGTCACTAAAATATTCTTTTGACCTTTTATATTTCTGGTATGTTTTTCACATTTTTTTGTTTTGTTTTAGTGAATTCACTTGACCCAATCGAAATGGTGCAAAATTGAAAAAAAGTGCTAGTCAGCCTAGAGGCTAGACTACTACTACTACTTGGTACTAGTTTCACTTCTGAAGCTGGCTGTTATTTAATCAACTAATGGAGTAAATATTAATATGCAAGGCTTTGCTATTAATAGTATTATTGTAAGATTTCAATTACAAATTTTCATTCAATTATAATTGGTCAAGTGTTAGACAGCCTAGGGGCTACTCTACTATTAATACTTGGTACTAGTTCTACTTCTGAGCAAGCTGTAATTTCAGTATGGAATATTACATGTTCATTGAAGTTATTAATAATAATATCAATTAGTAATTGTTATTATTATTATGAATATTATTATTCTTACTTATTTTCTAATATTAATTGATAGTAATTTTATTAGTAGTGAATATTAAAATGTTGAACATTTTCATTATATCCAGATGAGATAGGGTGAAGACCCAGACCCAGTACTAGTCCAGTAGGTGCCAGTGCAGCCCCTGACGATGCAGTTCTGGGATAGCTGTACTTATCAGTCATACTTTTTATTGTTAAATATCAATAAATAAACTTGTGGCAGAGTAATTTGATTCTAAATTAATTTTCTTCAAGCTGTAGAACCTAGAAAATTTTTCACAGACTTTGTTACATACGGGTACTTGCAATGATGCAATTCACATCATGATCGTTTTCAAGTTTTACTTGGAAATTCTCAATTCATGTGATAAATTTTACTTGTCACAAAGCATGGAAATATAGGGATAAAACTTTCACAATAAATTAGTAGCATAAACACATGTATGGTTCTTCACATTAGCAATCTATGTCAATAGACTTTTGCGCATCATACATTTGATCTGACCAATTGGACCAATCAGTTCTGAAAGTGGTTTTGAGCAACAAATATAGCCAAATTATAATTTATTTGATAATTGTAAATAATAAGAAAGATAGTTAAAAAATTCTCCAAGGTTAACAGCACTGAAATCCATGTCAAACCACAAATTTTTTTATATTTTCATGTATTTAATGACTTAAAATCCAACTTTAATAACTGATAACAAGTACTTTTATTTAGAATGTGTTCAAATTTCTTGTCCCTTGATCCTTGTAAGTTTTGTTGTTGTTGACTGATGCTGTCTAATATTTATTTAGTACACCATTGTGTCTGTGTGGGGTGCTAGTGTGCTGTGTACCAGTTAGTAAACATTGATGATATGTTCAAATCTCAAAATACCATGTTTTTATATTAAGTATAGAATTGCATTAAGTGAGATTTGATTTCATTGTAGTTTTGGAGTTTGTGGTGTGTAATTTATATTTTATGTTTTGGTAGCTTAAGATTTAGTTGAGAGCAGTGTGGAATTCTATATAGTTAATATATTTTTATGTCTACATAAGAAAACGGACCAAAAAGCGTACCACATTATAACTTCCACCACAGTGACAATTGATACACTGAGGCTGATAGAGCCAAACAGACACTGCTTGACACTATTGCACATGGGCCTTGGTTTGGAATCCAATACAGAGTTGGCTATTATATTCACTAGTTGTTTATCTGTAGTTGACAAATTTTTGCAATGAAGATGTTCTAAAATAAAAAAATTATACCTACTTTTGCAACAAATTCTCACAATTACACCAATACCAACTTAGTTTTCAATGTCACACAAGATGATGGGTCAGGGATAAACTACAACTCTTCCACAGCGTGTGAGCACATCGTGCTTCCATGAAAAATTTGACAAGACGGCGATGGCGCCATACACCTTATTTTGGTCATGTCAAGTTCTAATTCACAATAAATAGATTTAATTCACATTCCACACTGAGAATTAAAAGATGGAAAGTTGTTTCAAAATTTAAACACTTATTGACACACATTCAAATATGAATTTTATTCATGTTTTTGCCCTATTTTGTCAACATTATCTAAATAACTTCACTTCATATTCTGAAGGATTTCATCTCCCATAATGAGTTTTCAAATGACTTTTCTTTTTGAGAATGTTCGTTGTTTAGAAAGGTAATTATTGCATTATATAAAGCATTGAGCACTTAGACATGTACCGTCAAACGGGGTAAAAAGGGACGGGTGGGGTAAATAGGGACGCATGTCCTACATTTCGTAGAAATGTTGTAGCAGCCAAACTAATCAAAATATTGCAAAACTAAAAATAGTGGCGTAAACTTCAACATTTTTACTATCTATTATGTATAAAGCTGGTCAAGAAATCAAACGTTTACTATCTCTAAAAAATCATTGAAAAAAAGTGTGAAAAGTGTGATTTTGAAAAAGTACCTCTGCTAAGGTCTGGAGCAAAAAAAATATTTGCTGTATTGAAAAATTTTACTTACATAAAAGTTGCACCCAGGTGTCAGCTTGAAAACATAATTGACAGAATTTGCCTATCTCATTTAAAAAAATGGCAGCCATTTCCATGCGATGGGGCAAAAAGGGACACCCCCTGGGGTAATTAGGGACACCCTTAAAAATGAATTTACAGTAGAACCTCAGTTAGCAACTGAGTAGAGTAGAGCCTTAGTTAGCTCCAGTTAACAAAAAAATTGATTAACAACAAAGAATTTTGATTACATTTACCTCGCTCAGCGAAAAAAATTCA